GAAGAAAGGAGAAGTGTGGGAAGGCTGGGGGCGAGGATCAGGTGGGGCAGGAGGAAGGAATGGTGGAGGAGGGTGGGGATGGGATCCAGGGCCTGAGGGAGGATGTGGCGAGCTGGTGAGCGATGCTGTGTATGGGGAGGGGCAGTGGCTATGGAGAAAGCGGGAGAGTGGGCCCAGGAGTGTGAGCTGACAGTCAGAACACCCAGAACAGTGAGCAGTGCCTACCACAGCCTGGGTAACTGCAGGGGGAGGGACCTTGTGTTGGAGGAGGGGTCTTTGTGAGGCCTGCAGCACTGAGGAATGCTCCGCCATGAATACTAAGGGCAAGAAGAAGAGAAAGGGCTAGAGGGGGCTGGGTGATGTTTAGCTACTGGGGTGATTAATGGGGGTGAACGGAGGGTGAAACTCAAAACCTTCGAACAGAGATGGTGGGGAACGGTTGTCCAAGAACAACAGCGCACTGTTTCATCAAGAAAGCCAATGTCCAGAGGAGGGGCAGGTGGGAGGATGCCAGGTGCAGTTGCTCCTTCCCTTTTTTCCCAAAGTCTCTTTATTTACCATCTAACAGTACATTAAACAGCTAGCTCAGGGAAACCCTCTGGATGGGCTTCCTAGCTGTCCCCTGGCTTTGGACAGACCAAGGAATGCAGGGGTAGCTTGAGGGAAAAGCGGGTGAGGTCTGAGCGGAGGGATGGAGGTTGAGGTGCCTCCATGGGCTGGCCCACTGCAGGGCCAATGGTACTGTGCTGGCTGGACCACTGGCTTCCTTGGATCGGATAGGCACTGAGAGGTGCATGGGATTGGGTCCCTGAATGTGCCTTGGAAAGCAGTAATGTTCTTAGATAAAGATTTTGGAGCAGTGGTGGCCTTAAGGAGGGAAAAAGAGATCCTTTCCTGTGAAAGAGAGAGTGGGGGGACAGACTTTCTCCAGCCCTGGTTCCAGGAGATGTTGATCTGAGTTTTAAGGATGGAGATAAAGCTTGTGGAAGCCACAGATTTGAAACCCTTTCCCCATTTCCTACTTCTGACTCTTTCTGGAGGTGCAGCTATGGGACCTGTCTTACCTGCTTTCAACCTTTTATATTTCCAGAGGATAGGAAAGAGGATGAAGTGAACTATTTCATGCTGGGGGAGGTGAATTGAAGGCAGGGACTTAGAAGGACACCATCTCTTGGGATAGAAGGATTTTCTTCCTCTCTGGGCCTTTACAGATGTGAAACAACGGGCTGATACTTCCTCCCCACCTCCAGCTGTTAGGGAGCATAGTGTGTCTATGCCTGTGCCTGCCTACAATAGAGGTGGCAAGGAGATGGGGAAAAAGGAGATTAAAAAAAAAATGGCCAAATGTATATTTAGAAGGTTGGGGGAAGCCAGCATCTCTTGAGGGTAAGAGAGACAGAAAGTCCACTCCTTTTTTTTTTTTTTTTTTAAAACAGGGTCTCACTATGTAGTTCAGGCTGGCCTTGAACTCACTGTGTAGCCCAGGCTGGCCTTGAACTTGCAGCCATCCTCCTACCTCAGCCTCCTGAGTGCTGGGATTACAGGTGTGAGCCACCACACCCAGCTAGAACGTCCACTCCTGATCCAACATTGCTTGGGCATTGACCCCAGGAGTCCTACCACCTGGCCTTCATTCCTGTCTCCACCTACAGCTTGGCCCAAGCTTCTTTCCCTGCTGGAGTCTCACTCATGTCCCTACTCTCTCTCTCCAGGAGCCAAGCCTACAAAGCACTTTGAAATCTGAAGTTAATAGGAGGTGGTTGCATTGAGCACAAATACTCCGTGAGGTGCAACATGACCTGACTAATAATGAGGCAACCATTCCACACACAACCGAGTTCAAGGGCTGCCTTAAAGAGGGGCCATGCTTGGGCCGGGGGGGGGGGCGGGGGGAGGTTAGATCAGTGGTTTCGCCACCTGCTGGGCAAGCGCAAGGACCCAAGTTCGATCCCTGGTACCAAAAAAAAAGTACCATTAAAGAGGGGCCAGGCCTCAGTTTGCTTGTCACAGAGGGCAAGAGGGCAGGGGCTAACTGAAGCTGCCTTCTGCCTCACATGTTCACTGGAGAGCAATGGTCACAATCAACAGTCTTAATTATAAATTAATAATTCATAATTATTCCCATCTTGAAGATAAGCACAAGCCCCCTGAAATTATTTCCCAGAGAGGAACACAGAGGCAGTGGAAAGGGGACTTCAGTATAGCCATTACTTCCAGAAGCCATTTAAGTTCATTCCTCTGCTTCCCAACCAGACCCTGGAAGAGATTCATTAGCTTCCTTGGCCTTTCATCCTAACGCCCCCCTCCCTACTCCCATGTCCCTAAACACACCACCACATTTGCCTCTCTGTTCTTCCTGAGGCCAGAGGGCTATCCTTGCCAACATGATCTCAGAACCTGGACTCTGGATTTCTGGGGCCTCTTTGTGCTTTGCTCTCTGTTCTGCTATTTATAGATGTGGTCCCCTGCTGGAGGGGCCAGTGCCGGGAGTACTGGAGAGATGCAGCATCTTCCTGGCTCTTTTTCCTCTTTTTTTCCCATCTCATGGGGGAAGTGTCTAGGAGTTCTGTTATGGTGAAAAGTCTCTCCAAGTCCATGAGGGAGGAGAGACAAGAAGTGCCCTTCCTGGTGCCAAAGTGGCCTTTGGATCCTGGATATGGATTTGAGAGGCCAACTCTGACCTCCTATAAAGACATCTACAGGGCTGGTGATGTAGTTCAGTGGTAAAGCACCTGCCTAGCACACTTGAGGCCCTGGGCTTGATCTTCAGCACCTCCAAAAAAAAAAAGTCATTTGATCTCAACTCCTCCCCTCCCCAGCACTCATAATACCAAATTCCCACACTGGAATTTTTTTTTTATGTTATTTTTGGTATTGGACACTTTGCACTGAGCGACTCCCCTCCCCCACTTGTGGGACAGGGTATTCACAAATTACTGAGTTGCCTAAAGTGGGCTGGAACTTGCTATCCTCCTGCCTCAGCCTCCCAGAGTGCTGAGATTACAGGTGTGAGCCACCATACTTGGCTAAAAATATCTTAAAGGAACCTCAAAGAGCTCCTACCTCATAGCTCCAGGGGATCTCCTTTTCTGCCTCAGGGAATCTAACCAGGACAGATTCTTGCTCTTCCAAATATGCTAAACCATTACATCTGCTGTGGCACTATCTTCTCCAAAGTGTTGCAAGGAAGAGAGACTGGATCATGGACCAAAGGGCTTTGGGGTTGGCCCAACCTTAAAGACTTCCTCTTCATTTGCATCAAACACATCTGTTAGGCTAAACCTACAGGATGTAGGGAGCTGGAAAACTGAGACCCAGAAATACCCTTGTCCAAATCCATGGGTACAAGAGCGCACTTGAAACCTAGTTTCCCAGGCAAGGTGGATAATCAGCCAGGTACACTTGGGAGGAAACTACTACCACAAGAACACTACACCCTGCTCTTTACTTGACCCGCTTTTGGTCCCAAGAGGAGGATGGGATAGGGCCTTTAACTCAAGTTATCCAAATAATTAACTCTGGAAGCAGTGATCTTCCCCCCCACCTCAAAATGTTACTCCTTTGGCCTCCAAATATGAGAGATCTTTAAAACTTTTCCCTAGCTCCCTCCTATTCTTTACCCCCCCACACACACATACAAATCTTAGCTACAAAAATTTAAATATAGGGCCAAACATTCCTGGCCTACCATTTTGTCCCACCTGCAACCCCCGTCCCCTCCTCCCCAATTTTTCCTCTCTCTTTGCTTCTTTAAAAAAAAAAAAAAAAAAAAAAACGAAGAAGAAGGAATTTTCAATAGTCCCACTTGTCAAGCGAAGACCATCTTTTAACCTTCAACAGCAGCGAAAACCGTGTGAACTCTCGGTGAACCAAGATTGAAGTCATAAATCACGCGTACAAAGGCGGCTGCGGAGGCTGGCGCGGGCTGCTGCACCTTTAACGCTTTCTGGGGCTGACAGGCGGCGGCCCAGCTAAAGTTCACAGCGCCCGGGGAGGGAGGGGGAGGGGGAGGGCCCAGGGCCCACCCCACCCCACCCCCGCCCATCCCCCTCCCTGGCCCGGCCGGCCCCGACCCAGCCCGCCCGCCCGGCACTGCCCGACTCGCTGGGCAGCCTGCGTTCTGGGGAGGCCCTCGGAGGGTCCGCGAAGCAAAGGTTCCGGCTAGCCTCTCCGTCCCGCCCCCGACCCAAGTCTGCTGTGATTTAAGTAGTCAAATAGATCTACACCGACACAAAAATTTAGCTTGTTTGTTCTTCGGTATTTTCTACAGGACTCCAAGAGATGGGCTCTCTCCATCCTCCCTGGAGAACACGCATCCTTCATCTCTGTATAGGCCCTATTATCCCGATCCTTGGGGTTCCCATAGGTTCTGAGTTACTGGGACGAGGATTACTTGGCTGAAATCACACCATTTAATTAGATTTTCTTTCTTTACCTTTTCTTTTAGAGAGGGCTTGGATTAGCCTCCTCACTGAGGCGGAGTAGCTGGGACTGGGAAAGGAAAACCCTACAGCGACCCAGCTTCCAGCCCCTGGCAGAGATCTCCAAGCTCTGCAGAGCCAGGCAGGGCTCCCTTCCTCTCCTCGGCCTCTCGGCCCGCAGCCTCCTCCTCCGATTTGCGTTTTCCTCCTCCCACTGTCTTCTTTTCTGTTTAAAGTTCAGCGACTCCACTTGCCTCTCCTTGCATTTCCCTCGGAAAGAGGAAACCAGACTGCCCAACGGCCATGGGGCCGAGCGGCCCCAGCTCAACCCTGGCCCGCAGCCGGATGTGCCTCCCCGCGCCCGCCCGCCTCCCTGTGCCGGCGACCTCGGGAACCATCCACCGTCGTCCAGCCGGTGTGCAGCCGCTCGACCCCGGAGCAGCAGAATCACCCGGACTGCAAAGGAGAGCGCTTCTCTCTCCTGGTCCCCAGGTTTACGCCAAAAAGTTTGGAGGGTTCGTACACCTCGACCCGACCCTGGCAACTTGGTCCCCCAAACTCATGGCTGACTAATCTTATATGACAAAAGCCTGTGATGGATTTGCTATATGTTAACTCACAATGCCCTTTCCTCCAGAATTTAACTATAAGTTAATACACACCGGAAACCACGCGCATACACGCCCGTTAATGGGCTTAGGTATTAGCGAGTCCTAACGATGCATACAAATGTGCTCTGTGCTCTGTAGGCCCCTCAAGATTTATGGGCCTTGAGCTCTCTGAAGCTGTAAACAAGGAGAAAAAAAGAGAAAGCGAGAGAGACTGGGGGAAAGAGACAGAGGCCTGAATCGCCCCTCCAGATTGTGGGAGAGAAGGGATTTTTATATTTTTTCCTTGCCTTAGGAGCTCGGTGCGTGTGGGTTTTCGCATTGGTCTGGGGGTGGTATGCTGCGTGAATGCTGGTGTGCGTGGGCAGCGTGTGGTTTGTGTGGTGGGGTATGAGCACCTCTGCCTCCTTTGAGTTGCCGTGCAAGGGCCTAAACATAGCAGGCATTTGTGGACATATATTTGTGTGTGCACTGTGTTAGGTGTGAGTGTCTGCCTGCCCCACGCACGTGTGACAAGGAGGCCTCCCTCTGGGCCAGGCTGCTGTCCCCTGAACCTGGTGAACAAATCTCTAACAGCAATCATAATAACAATAAATAACATAACTAATAAAAACAGTAGTTAACAGTCCCTCCCTAGTAGGATAACAATAAAATGTCAGGGGAGGCGTTTTGAGGAGCCAGTGAAGGAGTCACCATCTCAGAATCTAAAGGGAAGACTGGAAAGGAAGGAAGTTAGCTTCTTTAAATGCCTTTGAGGGGCTGGGGTTGGGAATCCCCTCCCCAGACTGGGTTCTTGGCCCACAGGAGGGGAGGAAAGCCAGGAGGCCACTTTTCTGCTGCTTTTTCTATGGCGTTTACTCCACATATGGGGTGGTTAGTAGCTTTGGGGGCTCTCTGAGAACCCCTGTTTTAAAGAGGAGGCCAAATGTGCCGAGTCAGGCCGAGGGGCAAAGAAGGACGGGGCGATGACCACAGTCTCCGGTCCTGGCCGCCGGGCGCCGAAGTGCCCGAGGACGAGCCGCGGGGCCGGGGAGAAAGCAGAAAAATATTTATGGCCGCCCGCCCGGGAGTGAGGAGAGCGGGCGAGTGAGGCTGGGGCTCCTGCAAGTGAAAGTTCCTTTCCTGGAGTCTTTTTAAAAAGAAAGGAGAGGTTGAGGCGCCTTGAATTTTCCTCCTGGAGATTAGAGCCCAGCGGATTTCTGTAAAGGAAGCGAAGACCGAGGTCCGGGTTCCTGCAGTGTCAGCCTCCTTCTCTCCAGGTACAGTTTTCTGATAATTTTATCAATTAATTTATTTGGGGGAGGTGGGAGGCAGAGGGGTAGTGATACGTCGTTTGCGGGAGAAAAAGCCGCCCCACCCACCGTTTCGGGTCTAACGAAATCCCTCCTTTAAAGACACTTGTAACAAAAAACAAAAGGAAAAAAATATAATATCACACAACCAACTTTTTAAAAGAGAGAAAAAGAAAAGAAAACGACCATCTCCAAGCACGAGAACTTCTAAAAGATTTAATTCACAAGCCTTTTCAGAGGTTTGGATTCTTTTTCAACAGCGGTGACCCATTTGGTCTGAAAAGAGATGCAGAGATACGGGACCCACTGAGTCACCTTTTTCAAACCCTGCAGGTAAAGATTCAGAGGGAGCACGGAGCTCCTCATATTAGAGAGGAGAACAATACCACACAGAGGACACTACACTTCGATAACCAGGAGGACAAAATAGAAATAAAATAAAATAAAACTGGGCAAAGCGCTGAGCTGAGGGAGAAGGCCCAGGCCTTGAGGTCCAGGGTGGTGGGCGCCGGGCACTGGAGACCGATGGGCCCGGCCGCCCACCTCCCCAGCCAGCCCTCTGGCTCACTGGCTCGGCCAGAGGCTGGGCCGGCTTCCCTGGTGAAAGGGTTTTGGGCCCAAGACGGGGCAAAGTGACTCAAGCTAGCTTCTGCTTTTTCATTTTTCTCCTGTAGGCCTCTCTACTTGCCCAGTTCTCACCCACCAGGACACTGACGGAAGGGGCTTCTGGGCTGCCCCCCACCCACTCCTGCTTGGCTTCCCAAAGTCCAGCGACCTCCAACCCTCCTTGGGGAAAAAATACCTGTACCCAGGCACCTTAGCCCCCTGTGCTATGTGACCGGGCTCCCTCAGGAATATTGTACAAAGAAGAAGAAAGAACAGCTCACTCGGGAGCCGTGTTTACATCTAGTTGTACTGATCCATCCACATCTGGAGGGTTTATTTATAACTCCTTCTATAACTCTTTCTATTCAGAGGCACTGGTGGCTCTATTGACAGACTGATGCCTACAAAATATTGCTCTATCTCTAACCATACCTAAATGTTCTGTGGTTGTATTTACAGATTTATGCTTGAGGAAAATATAATTATTTCCATTGTATTTGTGCATATACAATAGTTATAGGAGCAGATTTATATATGGGAAAATATATGACTCTCTTACAGCCATCCAGTTTTATGGACATTTGATATCCTGACAGATTTATATCTCTGAGCAGCTGTATAGATAAATGTATATCATTAGAATTATGTATCAGGAGATATATACTTATTGATTGTGATATAGAGTAGTTAGAGCATTCACTTGCAGCCATATATGACTATGGAGATATTTCTATATTATTATCACTATATGTAGGCATATCTATTTATAACCACATAGTTATAAAAATAGACATAAGTAATTATAGTCCTATATGTACATGCTGCTATCTCTCTCTAGAGTTATAGACACTTTTGAGTATAACTCTATAGAGATCCGTATGTATATAAGGTGTAATTATCTCGCGATGTGTGCGCATTGGGATTCAGGCCAGTGTATCTCTGAACAGACATATTTATGTGTAGGGCCCCCGGGAGAGACTTGTTCATGGAGATAACTGCAGAGGGCCCACTGAAAAACTGTATCTGGCCATCCAGGAAACTAGCTCGCAGAGTTCTTTACTCAGGGAGAAATGGAGTTACAAAAGGGTAAATAGCGCATGGGAAGCATCCCAGAGGGGAGACCAACGGAGGGTGACTGGGGCTTCCCTGCAATAGAGGACCGAGGAGGGAAAGCGGTAAACACAGTATGTCAGAAGGCATCGGCGGTTTTCTTGAGGTGCTGGCACAGACAGGTGTGAACTAGGGACTTACAGAAGGAAGACCGTGACGCTCTTACTGCCCCGCCTGGAGGTGCCCTTGGGCTTCGGTTTGGCTTTTAGTGCACTAAAGGTAGGAGGGAGTGGTCCTCCCCACCCATTCCTAGGATGTTTCTCTAGAATTCTCAACCTTAGTTTTTGGGTCTCAGAGAAAGGGCTTCAGAGGTGAAGAGGTGTAGGAAGGAGCCCGGCAGGAAAGGAAGTACCCTTTCACCACCGCTGCTCCAGGATCACAAAGCCAGGAAAGAGGCAAGGAGTCCAAATCAAACCAGCCCTCACCTGGGCCATCCGTGCCTCAGGTGTGTGTATGATTGGGATGGGGGGCCTTGTGGATTGAAGGGTGAATCTGAGAGTCTTGAGCCTGCTGGAGGGGCCTGGGAGAGGCTTCCTCACCACCAGCCCCTTCCAGGCTTGGGCCTCAGTCATTTAATTCTGCTCCTCAGGAGTACTTTGTTGTTCCTCAAATTAGGGTTCCCTCTCCTGTAGGTACTGTCTACTTTAAAGTCCTGCCTTGGTTTGGGGGGAGGTTGATTTTAATAAGCAGGAACATGGATCTAAGCCCCTAGACCTCTCTTCTACGAAAATCGACAGCTCTGTCACTCCCTGTCCAGGCACCACTGGACCACAACTCCACAATTCTTTCCCTGCCACCAACCATCCCAGAGAAAAAAGACACACATACCCCAGTTTGATTATTTTTGGTTGGTTAGTTGGTTTCTTTTTTAACCAGGGAGTCACAAGTATCTATGCCGAATGGTGTGAAGGACTGAACTCAGTCTGGGTAGCCAGTCTGCTTCTGAGATCCAAGAACCCAGATCCCTAGGATGAGGTGAACAGAATGCAGTCAATGCAAAAGCTCATTGTGGCTCTGAGCACCGCTGTGGCCACTGCTGGCCAGCAGGCACCAGGGTGGGGGATAATGCGGTGGGCTGTGGGGGCTCTGGTTATGGTGGGAGAGTGACCAAGCCCAGGATTGGGGCAGGGAGTGAGGCACTCAGCCTGGAAATAGAGGGAGCCCATGCACGCCATTCACCCAAAGTGTTCCTCTGCCCCTAGACCCCCAGACTTAGGAAAACTAAACCTGAGTGTGTCCTGGGCTGGGAAGGAACTGTCTGTCTGCCTGAGGGGCCTAAAGAGGAACTACCACTCGATTCATTAAGAAATACACAATTAAAACAAAAATAAATCAGCAGGAAACAGACAGTGTGGCCAAGGAAAGGCTTTTTTCTATGCCTCAGCCCTGATCTGGGGACATCAAACAGATCAGGCTTCATATCTAAAAATGTTAATTTATAATTTAAAAGTTCACAGATTTTCTGATACAGAAATTTCTCCAATCAGATTGTTTCACATATTTATTTTTTATTGTTTCCACTTTCCCTTGTTTGGTTCCTCCCAGGAGTTTGGGGCCAAGTCCATCACTGTTAGTAAATAGGACGAAATGGGCAGCTCTGCGAGTCTCCATCTAGCGAGGATCCCTACCTGCAGGGACAGATCAGCCTTGCCCTCTCCTATTAAGGTATAGCGCGGGAAGGATCCCAGATTTGGTTTCTTATTTTCCCTAAGAATCTTGGGTATGGCGGGGGATTTAGCTCAGAGCCACTGCACCTGCCTGGCAATCGCAAGGTCCTGAGTTCAATTCTCGGTACCCAAAAAGAAAAACAAAGACTTTCAGGTCTAGGAGTAAGGTCAAAAAGGGGTCTAAAGTAAACCGGAGTCCTATTTCCTAGTCCCTCAGCCTTTCCTAGGCTCCTAGTCCTCCCTCCCAACCAAAGCACAATTCCCCAGGGATAATTATCTTTTCCCTAAAGAAATGCAAAAGGACTGCATTTACATATATTTGCCTAAAAATGACTCTGGGCCAGTGGGGTGTTGGGGCTCTGACCAGGATTGAGGGGGCTCAGATAGCGATTATCCTCAGCCAAAAGGCAGGAAACCAAGAAACACTGGCTACTATTATTGATCTTGGGTCCCGCTACCTGGGCTCAAGGGGCTCTTAGCTGTTTCAGGGTCCCAGACCCTTTTGAGAAGCTGACAAAAACTGTTTGTTTGTTTTTTTCTGTCCTTTCAGGGATTATAAGGAGTCCTAGAAGCCCGAGTTCTGTAGGGTGAGCACGTTCCTAATTTGTAGTTTTCCTTTCTTTCCGAGACCGTCTCCTCTCCTTGTCTTCCTTTCCTTTTCCTCTCTGGGTCCCCTTGTGTGGGGGGGTGGTCAGGAAGTTCTTCTGTAAGTTTAACCCCTGCCATTCTTGGCAAAGCTCCCCCCCCCTTTTTTTTCACAAGAGCAGGCACCTGGCAGAGGCCTAGTGTGTGTCTGTGGAGCTTCTGATCAGCTCTCCTCCCACAGAAAACAGCAAAGTAGGACTGTTAGCTGAAGACTGATCTCTATTGCCCAATTACTCAACTAATTCCTGAGGGGGGGCGTATATTGGCAGCAGTGGAGGCTTGGATGTAGGGGGACCAATTCCCATCTCTAGTGGAAACTCGGATGCCAGGAGCAACTTGCAATTGCTATAATAATAGTCATAATAATAACAATAATAATTTATTTAGCATATCATTAGATGTGTATTTACTGTCTTCTCTCTGCTTTTTTCCAAGTGTCTCCTAAGGAATTCTCACAACACCCAGGGGATACAATAATAAGCTAATTACCAGCCTTCAGCTCCTTCTCCTCCTGCCATCCACAGTCACCTCTCTGAGACAGAACTCCTTCCTGTGCTTTACACCTGCTTGACATATCCTTCCCTATGCCCAAATCTCTCCCGTTTCCAGTTTTTTCATCCTTGTTAAGGAATTTTATCCATACTTCAAAGAAGAAAGTGTTGGGAGGGGGAGTCCTTGAAACCTAGAGAGATCTACTTTGTTGTGGTTGTCCTAGGTATTAATATCGTTTCCTTAATATTGTAACAATCAATATAGAGGATAATGTGGGAGGAACTGACTCCTGACTTTCCTGGTTGCTCTTTTTAAGGCAGCAAGGATTAGAGAGACTTGTGCATGCTGCTGTGATACACAGATGTCTGAGTCCAGTGTAGGAGCATGGCCAGTCCTGAAAAATGTAACATCCACTCTGCTGGCCTTCAGGCTGTTCAGGTCAGACCTCAGAACTGTCAGGTTCCACAGAGCTCGTTGGTCTCTTTCGAAGGAGGGAAGAAAGGAAGGAAGGGAGGGAGGGAGGGAAGGAGGAAGGAATATGTGTGTGTACACATACTGACACACAAACACATTTTTCCTGAGTAAATAACCATGGCAGCAGCTATATTTTTAAAAAATATTTGTGTCTTAGTAGCCAGGCATCTTAGCACATGACTATAATCCCAGCACTTTGGGAGGCTGAGGCAGGAGGATTGCAAGTTCTAGTCCTGCTGGGCAACTTAGCAATTTAGTGAGACCCTGTCTCTAAATAAATAAATAAATAAATGGGGGTAGGGCTAGGATTTAGGATTTAGCTCAGTATGAAGGCCCTGGGTTCAATTTCAAATGCTATTCAAAATAGTTTCTTTGCATTTTAAAATATAAATACGTATCATCTTAGACATTATGATCAAAACACATGGATTCTGGGTGGACTTTTGGTCCAATTCAAAGGACCCCTAGAGTCCCAGTTATCTGTAGAACACTCTTTGTCATTCATTTCCTTGACCCCCCCCCAGAGGGCAGGACTGTAGTTGCTATTGTGGTAATCTTGGTCAGAGACAGAGCTGCTTGGCCTCAGCCATTGAGACCTTGGGAGCTGCTGGTCAGTCTACCCAGGTGGTTGTATCAGCCCTCCACTTCCCTGTCCAAGGACACACTTGCCCCTAGGAGGAAGCATGGAAGCATGCCTGGGCTGGAAGGTACAAGGGCCAGGGAGTCAATATCAAGTTAAAACTGAATACAGGGGGCCAGGGATTTAGCTCAGTGGTTCCATTGCTTGCCTTGCAAGCACAAGGACCCGAGTTTGATCTCTGGTACCAAAAAAAACACACAAAAAAACCTGAATACAGATCTTAGCTCCCTAAATCACAGACAGCAAAGTTGACACCCTTGATGGGTCCCATCCTTAGTTGGTGCTTTTTCCTTTTCTATAGTTCTCTGTCTTTCTGCTCTCCACACATTACACTGTATGCCTCCTAGAAGGAAGAGACCTATGGTCTGGCCTTTTAATAACTCCAATTCTGTTAAAACTTACTTGTCTTGTATCCCAGCCCATACCTAGTTAGTCTTTACTAGGTAACAGCCAGATTGCCAGCTTTAG